TATAAATTAATTTGGGAAGAATTACCATTTTTATAATATGCAGTTTTCCCATCCAGGCACATGGTAAGTTTATCCATTCATTAAAATCTTTAGAATTAATTTCCTCAGGTATATACTTCTTGTAATTAGTTTCATTTATTTTACTTTCTGATGTTGTGAATGGGGACTTAATTTCATATTTTCTAAAGGTATAGAGTTTCATATTTTTATTTTATGTGACTATGTCACTAAACCCTCGTTTTAGCTTAATAATTTTACACTTGCATCTTAGATTTTCTAGAAGGATAAGACTATCTACAAAAAATTTTACTTTGTACATTTCAATAATCATATTTTCTTTTACATTCTATTATACTGGCTAGAATTTCCATAAAAATACTGAATAACAATTATGATAGCAGGCACTTCTGTCTTAATCTTTATTTAAAGGAAATGTCTCTAAGTTTCACCAGTATATAGGACATGGATGCTGGTTTAAGAAACATATTCTCTCCCACATTAAGAAAGAATTCTTCAAAATGGTACAGATGAACCAGTTTGCAGGGCAGAAATAGACACACAGATGTAGAGAACAAACATATGGACACCAAGGGGGGAAATTGAGGGGGTGGGATGAATTGGGAGATTGGGATTGACATATATACACTAATATGTATAAAACAGATAACTAATAAGAACCTAATGTATAAAAAAATTAATAAAATTCAAAAAAAATGAGTTCTATTTCTAATGGTTCATATTACTTTTAAAAGTCTTTTAGCATCTTAAGATAAGCTTTCTTTCCTGCGGTTTACTTCTGTAAAATAATATATTTCCTAATACTAAATCATTCTTGCTTGACTAGTATAAATTCTAAGTCATCTCATTAATGTTTCTCTGGATTAAAATTGCTAAAATTTTATTTAGAAGCTCCATATCCACAATAATGATATTTTAAACTTTTTAGGGCCATAAACCCTTTGACAATCCGATAAAAGCTAAGAACTCTCTCTAGAAATACACTATAAACATAAAACTTTGCATACCATGCAGGGCCTCCACTGTCTCTAGTTTAAGGACTCATCTTTATTATAGCTAACTCTATATTTAGATGGTTTCCATGCCACTGCCATTTCTTAAATACTATATCTTATACATTCTGACTCCTCTTTTGGTCAGCAAGAGGATTTTCGAGAAAATTTTCCATGAAGGTTATGTATATAGATGTTTTCTGAGCTTTTGCAAAGGTGCTAGCCTGATTTTTGCTGTTTTGTTGGCTTTGTTTTGATACTTGTAAGATATACTTTAAGACTGATATTAAAACTTTAAAAATCAATACTTATCTATTAGTAATTTTCATTTCTGTGGTACTTGGTAAAACCTTTTGCCTCCAGACTTGATATTTTCTTATACTCAGAAGTTACCTTCTTTGACTATTGCTTCTGCTTCACTTATTCTAGCTTCTTGTGTTTTTGTTCATTTGTTTGCTCTAGTTCAGAAAAAACGGGCAGATTTTTCCGAAAGCAATGATTCTGTTAGGCAAGTTTACATTATTTTTTAATATATTGAGAACATCTACATTTCATATTTATTTAAGTACCAAATTTTTTAATGGAAAATATATGTATTTGCATTTTCTAGCTGCTGGAACAATTCTGAATCCTAGTTTAGACACTGTGATTTCCTGCACTGCCGTTGTAAGCAGTAGCACATTGGTCCTAACTCTGTCGCCTTAGCTTGAAATTCTTAACATTTTGTAAAGAACATTATAACATATGGATGATCCTGAAAATATTTTAGTGTTCACTAAAATTGTTGGTTTTCTGTTAATAGCTTCTTTTTTGAGAACATTATTCAACATTCTCTTCTTTTTCTCATTCATTTGCCCTTTTCTTCTACATTTTGGGTAATCTTTCTTTTTTTTTTTTAAATAAATAAATTTATTTATTTATTTATGGCTGCATTGGCTCTTCGTTGCTGCGCAGGCTTTCTCTCACCGCAACGAGCGGGGGCTACTCTTCGTTGCGGTGTGCGGACTTCTCAGGCTCAGCAGCTGTGGCGCATGGGCTTAGTTGTTCCTCAGCATGTGGGAACTTCCCAGACCAGGCTCGAACGCGGGTACCCTGCATTGGCAGGCGGATTCCTAACCACTGCGCCACCAGGGAAGTCCCTATTTGGGGTAATCTTAAAGATCCCAGACTATACCTTTAATTTCCTTAATTGACTTTCACAATGAATACTTTCTTAAAAGAAAGGCTGGGATAAAACTGATCACTGCACTACTATTTATAATAGTAAATATTTGGAACAATCTAATTATTCATCCTTAAAGGAATGGAATTAATAAAATGTATTCTCACATGATGGAAATCCAAACAAGGAGACGAAATAGATCTATAACATGGAAGCAACATGATGAGATCTCAAAACTAATGCTGAGTAGAGACTTCCCTGGTGGCACAGTGGTTAGGAATCTGCCTGCCAGTACAGGGGACACAGGTTCGAGCCCTGGCCTGGGAAGATACCACATGCCGCGGAGCAACTAAGCCCATGCGCCACAACTACTGAGCCTGTGTTCTAGAGCCTGTGAGTCACAACTACTGAGCCCATGTGCTACAACTACTGAAGCCTGCGCACCTACAGCATGTGCTCTGTAACAAGAGAAGCCACCACAATCAGAAGCCCATGCACTGCAACGAAGAATAGCCCCCACCTGCACCGCAACTAGAGAAAGCCCGCCCGCGGCAATGAAGACCCAACGCAGACAAAAAAAATTAAAATAAATAAATTAAAAAAAAAACTTTCAAAAAACTAATGCTGAGTAAAACAAGTAAGAAAGTACATATATGAATATTTATGTAAAATTTAAAAACTATAATAGCACTATATATTATTTATGGCTATATAAATATTAAAAAATGAACCAGAAAAATAACTGATGATAGTGACTGCTCCTAGAGAAGCAGAGAGGGCAACGGAACTTTGTCATGGTGAGAAGTTAGGTATGGCTCAAAGAGATTACAGTGTTTTGTTTTCTTTTTAAAAAAGAGACTGGAAGCAAATACAATGAAAGGTTAATAGCTGTTAATTCTGAATGGTGTGAGTATGGGTTTCTGCCATATCCCTTTTTATGTTTTCAATGTTTAAAATTTCTCAAAAAGGTAGCAAAAAATATTGGATGAGAATGCAGCTAAAAGATCAATGCAAATCCATCACTACCCATGGACTACAATGTAGCAGCACCTAATACATTAAAAATGAGGGGGAAAAAAAGCAGAAAAAATGAGGTAAGGTTATATTTTCCCTTAAATAACTTCAGTCTGTTTTAGTATTTTTGAAACATGCTGGGGGTACATCCTATAGTAAGAAATATATTCTATAATGTACTTTTTGTTTTGTTCTTCTATTTAACTATCTTCTTTAGCCTAGTCTACTATAATACGTTTCTGTTTTTATTTATTTATTTATTTAGGTATCCAATATTGCCTTGTTTTTTAAAGCCTGTGCCTGGAATTGCTTTTCCCCTATTATTAAGTGCCAAGTTCCTTTCTACCACTTTTTCATTATAATGTATTCTGAACTATAAGCAGTACTATTTACTTGTCTACCTAAGAGACAGATCCCTTTGTTTGGTTTCACTCAGTATTCACTGTAATAAATTCTCTTAGGCTCTCACAGCTTTGTTCTTTGTTTTGATATAGGCTAATTTACTCTCAAGTGATTTATATAGCTACAGTGTTGTACAACCAGTAAACTGAATGTTTCATTTCCCTTTCCAGCTTGACTTAACCAACTAAATTATGTTCCAAACTGGGTTCTATGGCATTCTTTTCTACAAATGTTATCATTTGATTTCCCCTATTTTTGGGGAAGGGGAATATGAAATACTAATTTGAAGATTCAAAAAGTTCTTCTCTGAATATGAAGGGATTAACTTAGGGTATATGTAAGAGAGAAAATTGTATATAAGCTATCATTTGCTCTTAAATAAAAACTAAAATTTGTACAGTAATTTACATTTTACAATGTATTGTTATGTAATTTTCTCATGTGACACTTAATAAGTACAGCTCTAAGTCATTACTGGAAAAATAGACAAGTAGAACTACTTACGACTAAAATGTAAGAGTAAACATGCTGGTAAAATCTGTAATTTGGAATTTAGGGTTTCAAGAAAGTTAGCTAAGCTGGCTTACAAGTACTCTTCTGGTGACTAATTTAATAAAAATCAAGAGGTGTAAGGCTCAAGTTATCAGGCAATTAATAAAGGAAAAAATCTTTTTATATTTATAAAGAAAAATTAGAAAAGCAGAAAAACATGGAAATGAAATACTGATATGAACCTCAGAAGTGATTCTTTTCCTAAAAATTAATTAAAAAAAAAAGAAATGATTCTTCTCTTATCTGTGCTTCATTTCATAAAACAAATTAAAGAAAACCAACCTACTACAAATCTCAGGAGTTAAGTAACCTAATTTCAATCCAATTTTGTGGGGAGGAAGATCAACTTTCTTACATGTATGAAGATACTTTACTGGAAAAAAACAAAAACAAAAACAAAAATAAAGAAAACCAATCCTATGCACAGTGCTGTAGACCTAGTTACTGACCCTGTAAAAACACAGAAATGCTGTAAGTAAACAACGGATACGTAGGTAAAGCAGGGTAATCTGGTATTGTCTGCATCTTTCTGCCAGTCTCTGGGTAGGGGTAAACTGATGATAGTGACTACTTCTATCAGTCACTATAGGGGCTTCTCTGTTTTTATTTGGCTTGAGAACTGTTTTGTCATTAGACACCTTGAATTACAAGGCAGAACATGGCTTCACAGAATGCCAACTGATTTCCCAGCTCTTGACAAGTCTGATGTACATAAAATACACAACTTTTAAAACTTTTGATGGGAAAGCATCCTTTTTTATATATTTTATCTACTCTTACGTCAAATGATTAGCAACAGTAAATCCCTTTTTGGGAGCAAAAGCATTAATGACATAAATAAATTTAACTTATATACATACAGAGAAGTATAGTCTTCTGGAAAGGAGTCTTCATGTGATGTAGAGGGTAATGAACTTGATTTGTTTTCCTGTGCATTCTGGGTCACAGACGTATGATCTACATGAAAAAATTACAAACTTAACAAGAATACCAAGTTAAAAATCACTCACTGTAAAATCTAAATAGTATCTTTATTGACTAGATATATATATATAGCCCTTAAATCTGAAAACATATTAAGATTTCAAGATTGAGCCAAAAATAGGTGTCAACACTTTCAAAAACACTAATAAGATAGGATAAAATAAAAGACTTAGAAGAGATTTCTACTGCAGAAATTGTAGTTTGACTGAACTTTATCTGAATTTTAATCAACCTTTAAAGTGAAACATCAAGTATCCCCATTTCTGCTTGTATTTTACATAAAAACATAACTCTTAAAGGCTCTATTAAGGTCACAAAATGGAAAGTTTATGTATCTTTTGTTTTCTCATTATTCTATTACTATCTATCTTTTGGGGAGAGAGGGAAGTATTTGGGTACCTCTTTTTGTCTTTCCATTTGTATTTTCATATTTCTCTTAGTTTCTCCTATATCTTTCCATACTTAATTTCATCTCATTTGTTATCTCTTCTTTTTCAACTTCATCTATTCTTTCTAACATGACTCCACGATAGAAATAAGCTATGTATTTAATGGAAAAGTTATAGATTTCCTGCTCCTATTTTGAAAAAAATGGATATGTAGAATATTCTATGTTTGGTTTTAAAAAATTGTTTTTAATTGTGCTTCTTCCTATGCAGTGGTGGACCTTAAGAAAAAAAGTGACTCTCATCCTGCCTTAGATTATTAACTTGCATTGGTCCTTTAGTGCAGACCACTCTTATTAAAAAGAAAAAAAAAAGTTTAAGTAAATAATAGTTTAAGTTATAATCCAAGGTCATCCTTGGCTAATTAGAAAGCATAAATAACCCTCTTTAGTTATCCAGGTGAAAAAACAAGATTTAAAATCTGATAGTTGAAGAGAGCTGAGTAAATAATATAATAATTGATTAAAAATTAAATAAGTTTAACAAGTTAAGAATTTCCCAGCTAATTTCTTTGAATGAGCCATATAAAGCCATATTAACAAATAAGAACAAAACAAATAAATATAAGCATAGTTAGAAATAAGATTTACTAAAAAAAACACAGAGATTTTATATTAACCATTAGATAAGGGGAGAAAGGAGAAATAATTTCTTTCAAGAAAACAGTATCCAATTCTTTGTATGGGGATACAGCAGATATTTACAGAATTATACACAATCAAAGAAAATTAAAGGTAATTAGTGGTTTGGAGAATTCAGGCTGGATCTGGGATGGCTTGTACCTCAACACCAAGTCCTTTTGTTTCCCCCAGTCTCAGTATTCCTTTTAATATAAATACTAACATGAATCTTTATTACTAGAAAGTGTTTAATCCGTACATATGCTAGCAAAGTCAATTACATAACTCCCCAATTACTTTTAAAACATTGCTCTACCACTAGCAAACATATACTTTTATTTTGATAAATTTGTTACACTTCAGATGAACTATATAAAAATATGAAACTATAGTACTCAGTATTTCTATTGATGAAATCTTTACTATAAAAGAACCAAAACAGGGCTTCCCTGGTGGCACAGTGGTGGAGGGTCTGCCTGCCAGTGCAGGGGATGTGGGCTTGTGCCCCGGTCCCGGAGGATCCCACATGCCGCGGAGCGGCTGGGCCCGTGAGCCAGGGCTGCTAACCCAACCTATTTTCTTTTAATGGGAAAGATTGTTTCAGAAAGAAAACAACAACAACAACATTGTTTAGAATTAATTCCTCTTACCACCTCCTGCATTTAAAAGCTTCTCTTGCAAAGCAAATGTAATCCCTTAAGGGTGTGTTGATTCCAAGTGCTACTGAAGGATACTGAGAGAAAGACTGTTTTCTTAAAGAATCTACTCTTCTAAAACTGTACATTAGCTACTGAAATTGAAAATACTTTTGAATAACAAAAGCTTTCTTTAAAATAAACTTGGGACTTCCCTGGCGGTCCAGTCATTAAGACTCCTCTTTTCCACTGCAGAGGCATGGGTTCAATCCCTGGTCAGGGAAGGAAGATCCTGCATGCCTCGGCACAGCAATCAATCAATCAATCAATCAATAAAAATGAACTGATGATGTTAAGCCATTTTTCAGAGATTTAAAACCTTATGGCTCCAAATTATGACAGTTAAAATAATTATAATTTGTTGAAATATTTACCAATATTAACTAAAATTTAGTAAATGTACCTCCTCAACACTTTAGCAAATTAATGATAGTCTAAGATTTATAGGATAGTGATTCTGATAAAATAACTTGCTTTTTAATTTAAAAAAATTTTAACTGACATATAGTTGATCTATAATGTGTTAGTTTCTGGTGTACAGCAAAGTGATTCATATATATATATATATATATATATATATATATATATATATATACACACACACACGTATTTACACACACGTATTTTTTCATATTCTTCTCCATTATGGTTTATTATAGGATATTGAATATAGTTCCCTGTGCTATACAGGACTTCTTGTTTATCTAAAATAACTTTTCAATTTTTCTTTTTATAATCCTGGTACATTATCTTTGTTCAATTACTTCTAAAATAAATTTGTTAGACTGATGGTCTAATAATAATCTAGAAATGAAAAAAATTTCCATCAATTTATCTATACCAGAATGTGCCTTTTAGTATTGTTCTTTACACAAAGTATCAATAGGTTTATAGTGGTTTGGAGTCTTGGAATTCTATTTGCCCTTCTTATAGTAGAAGCGTTTTTGAAAAAGAGAATTCTTCCCGGAGAGGTTTAGTAGAGTATGCATTTCCTATGGGGTAGGACTTTTTGTTTACTAGGGAAACTGATTTCCATATATGGATCTTACAGTTTTATTTTAAACTGTCTTCAGTTAACTTGACATAATTAAGGCTGGCTTGCTTCAAAGCAAGAAAACAGCAGAGAATATTCTAGATTGGGATTAGAAATGTACATACCCTTTATCAAAGTTGAATTATTATTTATAGTTGCTTCCTTCACTAGAATCATTGCTTGGATGTATTCTGTTAAGGAAAGGAAAAAAGAATGAAAACAATCAGCAGCAGTATCATCTTCACTCAAGATGTCAGCTACTGTACTAGGCAATTTACATACTTTATCTCATTCAATCTTCACAACTCCTCTAAGAGGTTCTTATGATTATCTACTGAATACATTAAAGACAAAGAAATTAAGGCCTAGTGGTTAAGCTGTTTATTCCAGGTCAATAAGTGAGGAAGTGGCAGAACTGGATTCAAACCTAGATATACCTGATTCATGAAGGAATGAGAAGGAATATTAAAATGAAAAATAGTATTAATTTTGTGGACAAGCACATCATAGATTAATGTCATAAGAACATCCATAAAGTATTAAGAGTATCCTGGGGAAAAATAAAGGATAGTTGGGGGAGATTTTGCTTGAAAATCATATGTTCTGATGGAATGAAGGAAATTTCCATATAAAAGTCTATGTTCTACAACCACTTAGGTTGAAGACAAAGAAGCAGAAAAAATACTTGGTTGACTGAACTGACTGCCTATGTAGAACGCAAGGTTTGCTTTCTGAAGACTACTAAGGCAAGTTCTGTTTAAAGCAGGCAATATATATTTATATATTTACTTCTTTTTTTTTTTTTTTTTTT